AAACTGGAATGTGCCACAAAGCCAACCAAGCAATTGTATGTATGGCAAGATCACAGTAAACCGGCCGAGCATCCTTTCCAGTGCGATAGTCCGAATTTTCCGAATCGGAATGCTGAATACAACGTGAAGATATATCATTGGGAGAAATGGTAAGCAGGCCAGATATTTCATGAAACATATCGATCGCATTCTATCTCATTGATTAGCCGAATCAACTTTGTAAACAAGTTTTCACCGCGAGAGGACCCCTGAAATGAAACCTTGAACTTGTTGAATATCCGATTCTCATTGCACCAATCTGTTTCGAGCAGTGGTTTTCCGGGCATTTACCAAACACAATTGATAATATTCACTGATCTCAAATGCACGATGTTTCGCATACGGCTAAATAGTCATTAGAAAACTTTAATCTGGGTTTTTGTATATTGCAATTGTATGTTTGAGACGAATTATGAACTGAAATAAGAGAGGAAAGGCTGGAATGCGAAATTTTAAAAAGCGATTGAATGCGCTTGAATTTCAGGACGGGTACCGCTTTATTGCACGGCTTAAGCCACTACAATGTCACCTCATTATCGTTTGCCGTCGAAAATGATCACGGCTTGGAGGATATTGGTGTGTATTAGCTGAAAATACTTTATTTCTGATTGTTTTATCGTTAATGATGTTTTTGCCCGCACAATCAGTCTTTTACTGTAATCCACAATTGAGGAGGCGATGTGTATAAAGGATCGTAAGTCGAAATTCTCAGCCTGTGAGATCAAATTCCCTAGTGTCATCGTTTTGCGTTTTTTTTTTTCAGATCTTTCCATAAATTTCCCAAATGTTCACACGCTTCATATTGAACTGAAGAAATCCACTGATGGTTTCAATGGATGGACAATATTTGGACAAATGACCTCATTGAGGACGTTGAAATTGATAAATTTCAACTTTGAATTTGGTGATTATGTAAGTGTTAGTTTCGCTGACTTAAATTCGCTTCATATCAACACTGGAATTCAGAACAATAAATTTCAAAATGTTTCTAGTCATGACAAAGATCTGCATTGAACCGAATAGTACAAAGATGAAAGAATACGTTCATGCGCTATTGTTTAAGTTAAAAAATGGACTTTCAAACTCATAATCAGTGAGATGAACACATTTTTTGTTGAGGCTCCCCCATGGACCGAGAGTTTGCATCGTTTACACGTCGAGAACAGCACACTCAGTTATCTGCCCAAGTGGCTGCCGTTCGCTAAATCTCTGGAACGTCTCATCGTAAGAGGAACGAATATTGATTCGGTCATAACAATTAGGTATTCGTCATTATCACATTACTGCTGTTTGATGTCATTTCTCTCGCGAAACCTATATGACCTCTTCGTCTAATAAATATCTTGAATTAAACTGAAAAGTACCGCTGGAATAGGATCTTGGAGCTTACGTTCAGGAAGATATGATATTAGTTTTTTTTTATTTTTTGCATTCGTCATGTATGCAATTTGCTGGATTCGAAGAACATTTCGAAATGAGTTTCTTCGAGTCATTGCCAGCAGATCTGTTGGTGAATCTTAAAATCGCTCGCTAAACTTTCAGCACGATGCGATCGCTAGTGAGTGTGAAGTTAAGCAATAACAAAATCAAAGATCTCGCGAGGATTTCGTTCAAATGCGATCACATGCAAGAACTCGATCTGAGCTCTAATCTGGTATGGGATTTGCTTTGGATGTGTGTTTGTGCTATCAAGTGATTGTTTTCATACGGCTGAAACAGTCGTCATAACGGTGAAGATAGAGGAATTTAAATGAAGCAGTCGCTCTTCAGATCGATCGATTCGCACAACATACGTTCAGTCAATGCTCACAGTTGCGACTTCTCGATTTGAGGCGGAATCCGCTTAAAGCGCTACCGTATCGTGGACTGCAAATGACCACCAAACTGAAGTGGCTTCGATTGTCCGAAACACAAATTGATGTAAACATTTCTGGTGATTCGTTTTTTGAAAAATAAATCCGATAAATTAACGAACGATACATCTGATGAACGTTAATTATTCATATTCCCAACGAATACCTTGAAGCAAATACCGGCTGGTTGCCAGCCCTTTAAGTCGGTATTTTCAACAAAGCGATCATGTCTTATACGGAATATTCAATTTGATTTCGAGAATTTTGATCTTTGAGGCGTTTCTTCATGGGATCAAAAGCAAATTTATTAATTGCTGATTATGTCGAATGGTACTTAATGCTACCGATTTGAGCACCCTTTGATATTAAAGATTTCATCAGCAATAATTAAAATATTTCAGGTTCTATCAGCTGACCATCTGATTGGACTGACTTCATTAAGAACTTTATCATTAAGTGATACTCCATCATTGAAATCCATTGAATCGTTCGCATTTCTACCTCTGAAATCGTTGAGAACACTCGAATTGGATCGTTCAAATCTGACGCAAATACCGCTAGCTGTTACACAGTGCTGTCATTTGAGCAGGTTTTTACTTGATTCTTCAATCAATCCATGCTGTCGATTATCCGCATTGTGGCTATGTTATTCGATCTGTTCATTATCTATCAAACTGAATTTATGGATGAGATTTAATCATATAATATGATTAAGATCAAATACATGATGCTAATTGATCAGATTAAGATGGAAACAGTAAGCTATAAGTTTGCAGTTTGCATTTATCTGGCAACTTGTTTCATCTGAAACAATCAATGCCTCCCGAGATTGTTGGACTTCTTTCACGACTCACTTATCTGGCGTTCGATTGTAATCCGCTTTCGGAATATCCCGTTGGATTATTTCTAATTCCTTTCTCTAATCATGTTAGTTATCGTTTCGTTTATACACATCCATTTTACTCTCAACAACGCTCTGATGCTCTCAATAGATA